CTGGGGCCTCTGAGGACAGCATCGTGTCCCATCTAGATGCATTAGGGCCAAGGCCAAGGCATCCAGGAATGGCTCAGGACTGGAGACAGGCAAGGTGGGGAGGGCTCCCAGGAAAGGCAAGCTCGCGGCCCCTGCTGGAGGGGACTCGTTCCCCGGGCCCCCTACCTACCTCCTTGGAAGTAACGCTTTCCAGGTCACTGGCATCCAACACTTTCCACAGCTCAGCACGGATCGCCTGCTCCATCTGCTCCTGTTCTGAGGGCCTGGGAGCAAAGCCCTTCAGTCAAGGGGCCCCTTCCCCTCTCCGCCATGCCTCCCACTGCCTTATCCTGCCTTCCCCGTCCAGCCAGGCCCTCCCCTCCCCACACTGACCGGCCAGGCTCGGCACTGGGAGGCCGCAGAGACTCCAAGTCGGCCATAGCCGTCCACTCATTGAGGCAGCTCTGGTCGGAGTTCAGTCTCTCCTGGTAGTGGCTGGCCCAGGTGAGGGCACTGCCACCTGGTACAAGGCTGCTGCCTAGAGCTGCCTCACATGCTTGGTGCAATACCTGGAGTGTGGCCCTGAGACAGGAGGAGAGGCTGGGTCACACTGTTCCCTTGCTGCCCTTCCCCAGGCCCTGCAGCCTCCTTCGAAGGAGAGGCTGGCCTGAGTCCAGGCAGCCTCTGTCCTTACCACATGGTCTGGATGGAGATGGGCTTGAAGAGCCGGCTCTGCCCACCAGACGTCACGCTGAAGCCCCTGCAGGAGACCAGGCGCAGGTGAGGCCGGACTCCAGGTTCTGCGACAGAGAACCTGTCCTTTTGCTGGATACAGCCAAGGCCCAGGAGTCAGGTGCCTTGCTCAGGATCACAGTGAATCTGACATGGAGCTGGGAGCAGTCCCCAGAGTCCCAACCTAAAGTTCTACTGTACCCCGGTGCCCAGGCCCCGTCACATCTGTCACACTCAGTTATTCCACCCTCTTGCCCCCCGACCTCCAGTTGCCACTGCTTACCCGTCTCCATCTAAGTACACCTGGGTGTCACTCCAGAGAGGCAAGACCAGGCCCAGGGTGCAGCTGGGGGAGCTGGCAGGAGACAGAGGGAAAGCCATTGTCCCCCCTGTCCCTCACCTCTTTGCCCCTCCTTTCCTCTCCCTGCTCGAACCTGCTGTCAGGGAAATCCACACCCAGGAGGACGGTCTCATCCTGGCTTAGACCTTCTCCTTCTTCTGTAGAAACTACCAGCAGGTAGCGGAGCCGGGGAGGCCGGGCTGCCTCCAGCTGGGCTGCCTGGGAGAGATGAGGAGCCCAGGGTCAAAGTGGCCCCAAGGACCCTGCTCCCCACCTAGACACCCCAGGCCCAGAACAGCGCTGACACTGCTCCTTCCTCTCCCATCCCCCTTCTTCCCCGATGTAAAATCAGTGGGTAAGGAGGGACTGTGTGGAAAAAAGTGGGGAATGGGACTGACACAGGTTGCACATTTTTTGTTTCTGCTGAGGGAGGAGGTTGTTTTTGTTTTTGTTTTTGTTTTGAGACAGGGTCTCACTCTGTTGCCCAGGCTGGAGTACAGTGGCACCAGCACAGCTCACTGCAGCCCCAAACTCCAGGCTCACATGATCCTCCCGCCTCAGCCTCCCAAGTTGCTGGGACCTCAGGCCTATGTACCATACCTGGCTCATTTTTAAGTTTTTTATTGAGATGAGGTCTCCCTATGTTTCTTGGGCTGGTCTTGAACTCCTGGGCTCAGGCAGTCCTCCCTTCTCAGCCTCCCAAAGTGCTGGGATTACAGGCATGAGCCACCATGCCCAGCAAGAAGGAGGTTTTTTGTTTTTGTTTTTGTTTTTTAAACCCTGTCACTTGCCATTGCTATCATTTCATTTGAGAAATGTTTATCACCAAAGAAATACTAAGGACAAAATCTCACAATAGGGGATGATATTTCTGTCATAAATTCAGTTTTACAGAAGATTCACTGCATCCTGTTTGCCATGTCTTGCGGAGGACGGTGAGCTGTCTCCACAAGCATTTGAACACCAGTGCTCCGGCTCCACCTGGACTCCCTTCCTCCATGGGGCTGGAATCCTCCTCCCCTCTGCCCCGGTCCCTCCAGCACACCCACCCCCAGTGGGTGTCCAGCAAGCCTGCCTTGTGAACTGGTCCGTTTAGGGACAGCTCATGTCATCAGGAAAGTCTTCTACTGGTTGAGGAGAAACATACCTCTGGAATTCCCACCTCTTGGACCTAATTTGGCCCTATTGGCTCACACAGGACAAACCTCCCCTGTTCTTTCCCTTCCAGAGACCTGCAGCCATGACCTTACCCTGCCAAAACATCTCTGCCTGAAACAGCAGGGTCACTGGGGTATGGGTAACCCCAACATTCCCCAGGCTGCTCCCTGCCCTCACACCATTGCTCCCCAAGCACACACACACAGGGCTCCATTCTGCCCTCAGGTGTGTCTCTTTGCCCCGCCCCCTGGAGCTCCAGATGGGCCCTCACCAGGCGGATGTCATCCTGCGGCCTCAGCAGCTGCACCATGAGGTGCAGGTGCCGCCTCTGCTCCTCCTGTTTCTGGGAACTCTGGGATCCTTGCCCGAAGTCTGTCTGGTCCCCGTGGGGCTCCTCCTCATTCGGGGGCTCCTCCGCTGGCTCAGGACTGGCCTCTGCTGCATCATCATTGTCCCCTCCATCCTGCAGCCCCAGGACAGCCCCTCGGAGCACCGCAAAGCTCTGCCTGGTAGGGCAGTGGGCAACTGTCATGGCCCCTCATCCCCCTTAGGGTAGGGGCTCTCAAAGTCTAGCATGCCTCACATTCACCTGCAGCCCTCGTCTGCACGGATTCATGGGCTCCCACGCGGTCCATAGGTCTGGAGTGGAGGCCTGAGCATCTGCATTTCTAACCCCTTGGCCCCTTGGCAATGCTGCCACCAAACTGAGAACCAGTTTTGGGGGCTTCCAAACTCTCAGCCCCTCTACTCTTGCTCACCTGCCAGGGGATGGGGGCTGCTCCCTTTCCCCTCCCACCTGTTTAACTCAGGGGCTGCTGGGAACTTGGTCGGGGACCCAGGAGTCCTCAGGCCCCTCATGCCCTCCTGCCGTTCGGCCCGTGGCCACCACCTGAGCCAAAGCCCAGGGCAGTGGGTGAGGAAGCCCCAGCTGACCAGGGGGACGGTGAAGGCAAAGGTCGCCCTACGGCGAGCCCACCAGCGGGCCCCACCGGAAACGCTGCCCCACAAATTTGGCAGCGGGCTTCGGCTGCGCGTCCTCCGGGGAACTTTCTGTCCCTGCACCGGGAGTCCAGGACTGCCGTGGCCAGGCCCGGGGCAGACGGAAGTATCTGCGTGGGGGAGGCGGTGCTCACCTTCGCTGGAGTCGACTCCTTCGCTGGACCGCCCGGTCCTGCCGAGAGATCAGCCCCAGGGGAGGGTGAGGGCGGGGAGGGCTGTCCTCTCCCCTCTCTCAGGAATTCTGGGGTGGGGGGAGGCCAGAAAAGGCGCCAGATGCCAATCGTCTTCCCACCCCAGTCCATGCCCCACCGGGAGGCCCCGTGGAGCACTGGCCCAGGGCCAGGTCGGCTGGGTGGGCGCCGAGGGTGGCGGGCGGAGCGCTGAGATCGGGGCCTCCGCAGCCAGGGAGGCGCGCAGGGCTCTGGATTGTGCCCGGGCGCCAGTACCAGAGACCCTCGAGGCCCCCAGCGCCCTCCAGCCCCAGCCCCGCAGCCCCCTCCTCATGCCCCCGTTCGAGAGGAGCCCGCTGGCTGGCAGGACGCGCTCCCGAGTCCGGGCAGCAACTGCGTGGGCGGCACCACGGCCGGTCCACACTCACCCGGGGCCCCACGGGCGTGGAGGCGCCGCTGCCCGGGGGCGAACGGCTCACTGTGACCAGGGCCATGGGGCCAGGCCGGGGACACCTGGGCTGGCACCAGGCACGGCCCCCTCCCTGAACCCCGCGGACAGTCCTGGCCCTGCAGGACCAGGAAGGAGAGACGGCGCCACCCGGGCCTGGCACCTCCTCGGGGGCGGCCCTTAAAGGGACAGACACTCGCCCAGCCGGACCCGCGGAGCTTCTCAGGGCGGCCGGGCCCCGTCCCTCCCGTCTCCGCGGTTCGGCCCGCCCAGCCCCTGGGCACAGGTCAGGGGCGAGGCCGGGGACGGGCGCAGGTGCGGAGCCCGGAGACCCTGAGGGCAGAAGCTGGAGGCCGGGAGTTTGGTCTCCCTCCCAGGAAGCGCCAGGCCCGGCCCAGCGGGAGCACCTGAGCTGTTCTGGGCCTCCAGCGTCCTGTGCCCTGCAGAGGCGGGTCCTAGGGAGGCAGAGCGGAGGCGGGGGGTGGGGGACAGGTCTAGAGAGGATCAGGCACGGCGCGCCCTCGGCCAAGAGCCCCCATCCCAAACATTTCTCCCTGCTGGTCGGCCTGCTAGTTCCCACTCCACAGGAACCACTGGGAAACAGGCTTCCGGGGAAAACGGCCTGGGGTTTACAAATAACCCAGAAGCTCAAGAGGGGCTCTCAGGTCCACCTCGGAGGCGAGCAGGGCAGGACTTCCAGCTACGCGGGGGAAGTGGCTTTCGCAATCCCACCCGTAGAGAACAAGCGGCAGTCACGGCCAGGGCCTGGGCTTGGCTACAGGGGTCGGTGTGGGGGCTCTTCCCAGCTGGAGGTGAATGGGGCCTGGGGACCCTGCCTTTCCCTCCCCAACAGGCACGTGGGCCGGTTTCCAGAAGACCAGGCTGGGAGGCAGGACGAACTGGGTCCCCAGCAGGTAGGACAGGGCACAGGGGATCTGTCACAGGACGCCTGCTTGGTAAGGACATGTGACTCTCGCCAGCTCCGTTCAGCCCTGAGGGGCAGAGGGTGGGGGGTGGTCTCCTCATTTTACAACTGAAGAAACTGAGGCTCAGATAGGCTAAGGGGACCATGGCCAGGATTCACACCCAGGTCTGAGGCCGCCACCCACAGTGTCTCTCCACAGCGCCCCACCTTCAGGGTCCCCACCACTCCAGCCCAGTGAGCAGAGTGCCCTGCTGCGACAGTCTCTTTATTTCCATCTGTCTCCCCTGCCCGACCATCCCTGGGGCTCCAGGCCCCAAGCCCAGCAGCAGAGAGTTTATAAATAAATAAATTACAAAAGCGGGCAGGGAGTGGCCTGGCCAGCCCTCCCGGGGCTGTGGCTCAGTGCTCGGTGAGTGACAGCCGCAGGATCCGCTGTAAGTCCTCCTCCTCCTGCTGCCCGCGCCGCTCCCGCTCCTCCTGCTCCCGTGAAGACAACTCCAGGGCCAGGCGAAGTTGCTCTTCAAAGCTGGGTGGGCCGGGGGCTGGGGGCGTCCTGGGAGGGGATCCTGGGCCCCTGGGCTCTGTGGACAGCCGCAGGCTTTCCTGGAGGGCCCTTCCAGGGAGGGCAGGGGAGGGAAGAGCAGGAGAGTGAGCGCCAAGGCTGGGGCAGAAGCCGAGGGGATGGGGACCGGCTTTGGAGGACAAGGACAAAGACAGGGTGGCAGGCAGAGGAGACAGGGCAGGTCCCTGCTTCCCCACCCCTCACACCACCTTTGGTGGCAGATAGTGCTGCTGACGGAGGGTGGCGTTGCAGAGGGCCTGGGGTCCTGGCACCTTCCTGCTATCCTCCTCCCCGCCAAGCCCGGGTTCGGGGGACAGGGACCCAGCCAGCTCCATGAGGGGCTCACCGCTCCAGCTGAAGCTGTTCCTCATAAACCGTGGCCTGGGGAGGAGGGCGGGCACCAGGCCGGGTGTTGGTCAGGGCTTCCCAGACGGTCACCTGCAGTCACCAGAGCCCATAGCTGTCACTTCTGCCCTGTGGCTGCAGAGGCCAGAGCCCACCCCCTGCGCAAGTCCCACCTGCTCCGCCTCGGTGCCCGCTTCAAGCAGGCTCTGCTGGATGGCGAACTGCAGGAGGTCATCGTCCTCATCTCGGAGGGGCTCGCTGCGCTCCGTGCCCAGCACACTGTACCCCTCGGGCACCTCAAACACGGTGGGGTCCACCTCGCACGGGAAAGGGTTCCCTAGGCGGCAGAGGGGCCACGCTTAACCCGCAGGACTTGGTGACCAGAGAGCTGTGCAGGCCACCTCTTCCTCCCGTGGGGGTACCTGACGCGGCAACAGCAGAGCTGGGGGCCGGCACCCACACCGAGCTCAGGGGTTCGTCACAGCCACACAGGTTGCTGAAGGTGATGCGGGCGTTGAGCACGTGGAAAAGGGGAATCTCTGTGAGGAGACAGCCACACCTGAGCCCTGGTGGACAGCCACCTGCACCTCCGGCCCCTGCAGCCTTCCAGGGACTGCGCTGAGGGGAGGGTGCCATGCCTGAGGTCCTCCCGCTGCCTGGGCCCAGCCTCTCACCAATCTTGACGGGGAAGCCAGGTGGAAGGCGCAGGGTGATGAAGTCGCGCAGCTTGGCAAAGTGAGCATTGCTGATGGCCATTAGGTCAATGATGGGTGTCACCTGGTCACCCAGGGAGAGCGGGTGCTCTTCACTCAGCCACAGTGTTGCCTTGAACCTGCCCAGCCGACCACAGGACATGGGTAAGGCACCGCTGGTGGCCCTTCCACTGAGGACTGCCCTCTGGTTTGTGGGCAGCTGCCTTTACCCACCTTCTGCCTGGCCTGGGGTGCCCTGCTCTGCTCAGATGCCACTGCCTGCCTCCCCTGGGAGCTGGTGTCCTGGCCACGTGGCCCAAGCTGCCCTCCTCCCTGGGCCCAGGCTGAGGCTCCTGAGGATTTCGCACCAGCTCATCTGGTCTGGACAAGGAGGCCAGGTGCCAGGCTGCGGGCTTCTCTCTGGGCCTGGCCCATCGCCCCGTTCTCCTCAGCCCAGAGCCGGCCTCACGTGTTGCCAAACTTTTGTGTCCAGCACACCCCAGGGCAAGACTGTCAGGGTTTGAATCCCAGCAACTGTGTGGTGGCTAAAAGAATCCTCCTGGCCGGGCGCGGTGGCTCAAGCCTGTAATCCCAGCACTTTGGGAGGCCGAGACGGGCGGATCACGAGGTCAGGAGATCGAGACCATCCTGGCTAACACGATGAAACCCCGTCTCTACTAAAAGATACAAAAAACTAGCCGGGCGTGGTGGCGGGCGCCTGTAGTCCCAGCTACTCCGGAGGCTGAGGCAGGAGAATGGCGTGAACCCGGGAGGCGGAGCTTGCAGTGAGCTGAGATCCGGCCACTGCACTCCAGCCTGGGCGACAGAGCGAGACTCCGTCTCAAAAAAAAAAAAAAAAAGAATCCTCCTGAGGTGGTAGTGAGAGTGCTAGGCTTGTGCAGGCACTGTGCCTGCTGTTACCACCTACACCTGCTCAGGGCTCCTCACGGGGCAAAAGCATAACTGTTCTGTTCCACCAAGGTGGACGCGCCACTCCCAGGCCATGTCGCTGGGGGCCCTTCCCACCGTGCCACGCTGGCCCCAACAGGTACTCATGAAATTAAATAAAAAACCATACATGGGTGGCACCATCCATCCATCAAAGACAAGCTACTGGTCGTCTGTGCCAAGCCCTTTCTAAGGGCTGAGGACCATGGATAAGACATGACTCCTGCCTCCAGGAGTGGAGTCCAGAGAGAAGCCAGCTGAGGGAGTGGGCCCCTCACTACAACAGGCCCAGAGAGGGCTCTGCAAGAGCCCCCGTCCCGAGGCAAGTCCCCAGCCCGCTCTCAGACCTCACCTCTGTACTTTGCTGGACATTTCGATGGGGCGGCCAATGTTCCGTGACTCCAGGCTGAAGTTGGGGTCGAAGTACTCCTCAGGGGAGATGGCTGTGGGGTTGGTGGGGCTGGCTGCCTGCTGCACAGGGGCCTGCGTGGGTTCCAGGGCAGACTCAGCGATCAGGGCGATGAAGCGCGCCCTCCCGCCCAGGCTCAGCCCCCGCCGGCCCTGTCTCAGCCCATCCCTGGCTCACCCCGGTGTGGGAGGAGTGCTGCTGGGCCATCCCCAGGAAGGACTGGAACGGAGTCTTCCCCCCTACGGAGAAGGGGTGGGAACCGGTGAGGGGGCCACTATGCCCGCACTGTCCCCACCCACCTCCACCCTGGGAGCCTCCTGTCTCGGGGAAGAGGGGGCAGACGGGAATGGGGAGGCCTCCCAGCTCATCCCGGGAAACTCTGGCCCCTGACCCCAGGCCAGGGTGGCCCCACCACATGGTGTGACTAGGCAGCAGGCAGGCGCACCTGGGTTTACCTTTGCTCCTCGACTTGTCCTGATCAGAGAGGTGCTCCGTGCGTGTGCGTGTCACCAGCTCCACGTTGGTGGCACTGTACACCTGGGGAGCAGGGGACACGGGGAGCTGGGGGCTCAGAGCCTGCTCCCCACACTCAGCCTCACCAGTGCAGAACCCAAGTCCTCCTGTCCCAGAGACAGATGAGATCTTGCTCCCCAAAATAGAGGAGATGGCAGGGTTTGAACCCTGGGAAGTCATCAACGAGGAGATGCAGCCCCAGGGTCAAGAGGAACACGCTCCTCATTTCATCTTGGTACCCTGGGTAGGGGCCCGTGATGTGGGTGAGCCCTATGTACTCCGCAAGGGATGGGCACTCAGGCCCGTTGAATTCCCACAAACGCTCAGGGTTTCCAGAGCCCAAGGGCTACTCTGGGATGCATGTGGAGAGGAGCCGAGTTCCTGGACCTCATCTCCTGCCCCCAGCCCCCCACCACTAGCCTCTCCTGCCTTGGCCTCGTAGCCGCTAACAGTTTCCATCTTCTCAGACCGCCAGCCCCAGATACCACATTTGTTCCTGAAACAGACCAAACAGGAGCCGGTGAGGACCTGCACCCTCACACCCTGGTCAAAGCCTTTCTTTCCAAAGCCCCCTCCAATCAGCCTGCCTGGGGTGCCCAACTCTGAGGGTCCCTTCTCACTGTGAAACATGGAGGACCCCTGAAGAGGGTGCCTGGACAGCGGGCGACACTTGAGCATGGACTTGGGACTAGAAGAAACTGAGGAATTAGCATGAATCTTGGGAGGTATGATAGTGTCGGGGCTGGGTTTAAAAACATCCTTATCTTTTAGAATTGTGCAGAAGCATTTACTAGAAACATTAGGACATCTGGGATGAGCTTTGACATACTCTAGGAAAAATTTTAAAAAAAGGTAAGGAAGGACAGATTCAGTAAGATTGGCAAGATGTTGATAAATGTTGAAGCTGGGTGATAAGTACATTATCTCTTCTTTCATATATGCTTAAAATTTTCCATAATAAAAAGCTAAAATAAAAGTATGTCAGTTGGAGACTCCAGTACTCCACTTTCAATAATGGATAGAACAACTAGAAGATCAACAAAGAACCAGAAGATTAAGAACAATACTACAGCTAGACTTTATAAACAGGTCAGAACACTCTACCCAATAACAACCACACACACGCTTCTTACATGCACACGGAACACTCTTCAAGACCGTATTAAGAAAACCGGCCGGGCGCGGTGGCTCAAGCCTGTAATCCCAGCACTTTGGGAGGC